GGGAAGAAAAGGAGGACAGTACTGTTCTCTTCATCCTTCAGCTGTGCAACACAAATATTTTTAAACAGAGAGTTAATATGTAGAAACGGCTGATTTAAAACTTGTCTAAAGAAAATCTACATCTCTCTCGGTATAATTGAGCAAGAAAAATATGGTGTGGGCCCTGTCTTTGATGTCTTGCTGGATGGAACTTACCAAATGATGGTGGCTTAGCAGTAAACATCAACACTGCGAGTTTTCAAAATTAGAAAGCGTCGTTCAGAAAAGCAGAGATCAAACTCCAAACATCACCAGAGACCTCTGATAACTCACTTCTGAAGTGGACATCTGCTGCTACTGAGACTCTGCTGGAGGCCCAACAATTCAGAACTGTGCTGAAAGCTTGTGCTTTCAGGTGGGAGCATGGACAAACTCTCATCAGCAACAACAAGTAGCTGTCCAAATATTGCATGATAGGCACCATTATAAGAACATGGAAAAGAGGAATGGCTTTAGCAGAGATATAAATAATGCAGACAGACACAAACACGTAGGCTGTGTGAGCTTAAAGAGGCTGCCTTTCAGGACAGAACTGAAGTTATTTGCAAAAGGGTAGAAGAATATGGATTATAAAATAAGTGTTGAAATGCTGGTATTCCATAAATACGGTAAGAGTAGTTTATCTGCAAGAGGATTCAAAGACCAAAGAGAATTTCACATGCAGAAATTCTGGAACTCAACTGTGGCTTCCCCCAGTGCAAAAATTGAAAGCAGAGACTTGATTTATTTATCAATAAATCCACAGCATAATTGAACATACAGGAGAAAATAGCGTCTGAGGATAGTTGAAGAAATATTAAACTACTCCCCAATGTTTGCTGAATCTCCAGTTTTGTACCAGCAAATTTCACTGTGTTGGGACACCAGTGTGTAGGGAATGGGCTCTCTCAGTGCAGGGGAGGAATCTGCCTAAAACACTCTCTTCCTTTCCTCTGTTGCTGCCTTTGCACACCCTCTGAGCTCCATTCTGGGGATTCTCTGTCTCAAACCACAGACTCTGTGATGCTGGAGAAGAACATGGAAATGCTGGTCATGATGCTCAGAGAGACCCCTTTGTGTGCTCCTTTCAGCTCCAAACAAGTTCTTGCTCGTGCATCTCAAGGAATCCCTTCCTTGACTCTCTCTGGACCCCGCAAAAGCAGAGACAAGAACAGACAGAACCAAAGCTTCCCATCATTTCCAGGAGATACAATACAGGAAAGGCTCTTAGGGGATGGGTAGCAGAGTATTCCCCAATTCTGCCTTCCCCACCTTCAGCATCCCTACTCCTTCCTTGTCTAAGTTCTGTACCTCTATTAAAACACAGCTGGATCTGGAATTATCAGAGTCAGCAAAAAGACACTGACTTGTTTTACTCACCTCTGCTCTTTGCAATCCCAGGATCCACATTTTTGAATTTCTTTTTTGCGTCCTTTGTTGTTTGTTTGTATGGGTTTTTTCATTAAAATTAGGGTGTGTATGCAACTACAAAACTATGCAACTACAGCACTTCAGGAGCTGAGGGAGGTAGGGCTGGCAAGGAGCTTAAAGGGCATTTGGTGTAAGTCCACCTCTGCTGAGGAATGCAGATCACGTATCCCCAACAAGGTTGACAGCTCTTTTATCTAATCTGTTCTTTAAAACCCCAAGTAATGGAGATTCTACAGACATCTTAGCAGCCTGTTCCAGTGTTTGCCTAGGTTTATAGTTAGAAAGATAACCTAAATCTCCTTTCTGGGAAATTAAAGCAATATTTCCTGCCCTAACCTCAGTGGATAATGGATTACTATCTTCTTTCAGTAGCTTCTTACTCACTGGAAGTCTGTTATCATACTCCCCTCAATTGTGTACTGGAAACAAACTCAGTTTCTCCAAACTTTTCTCATAGTTTATAGGTTTCTATTTATTCCTGTTCCTGTCCAGTGGGACTGAACCTTTTATTTAAAAATATGGTATTAAGCCAGATTGTGGGTAAACTGGTAAACCTCCAGTAGTTCTGAGCACAGCAGAGTAATGATGTTTGACATGCTACAAGCAGTGCTACTGTTAGTACATTTTACAAGATTTTCTTTCTTTCAAGTACATCTCACTTCTCATTTACTGTGGATGTTATCACCTTCAGATCTTCCAGGCTTCTGCTGCCTTTTTGGTATGTGGAGATCTGGCTTCTCCAGCCTATATATAGTTCTTTTGATTTCAGTTGGGTGAATGTGACCTTGTTAAATTGGAATAATTTCCCTGGTTTACCAAGAGCACTAGTTCTAATTGTGTTGCTATAGTATTTCCAGTCCCTTCCAAAATGGTGTCATTTGCAAATGTTATAATACCTAATTTATTCTTTCCAGTTAGAACTTGTTTAAAGTTAGGATGAGAAATACGTGGTTTCTTTTCCATTTTCTTGAAAGCAGGTACTATATTCGCCCTCCTCTAGTTTTCTGAGACTTGACCTATCCTCCACAGGTTCTGAGAGATGATAACTAATAATTATGAAATTGCACTGGTTAATTCCTTAACTGCTTTAGGGGAACAGGTCTTGCTATCTAGAATACATGCAACTTAACTAAATCTTCTCTAATTCTTTCTCCATTCTAGTTCACACTCCATTGCCCTGTTAGAACAAAAGGATCAAGTTACAATTAACCTTTTTTGAGGAAAGACCCTGAGATAGCATTTCAGGAGTGAGCAGAATTGCTACTGCATCCTTTTGGCTCCCTTCCCCCTTCAAAGAAAATCCCACAAAGCTTGTGAGAAGGAAGAATTAGCAAAAAGTGAAGTGAGAGATACCAAAAGCTGTTAAGGCAACTTGAACTCTTCCTTATTTATCTCTGTGTTGTCTGCTAGACTTCCCTCTTTGTTCTAATTAATTGGCAAACTACTGCCAAAGTCATTCATTTCTCAAAACTTATTTATTTTGCCTCACAACATTTATTTGCACAGCACTACAGGTTGTGTAAAAGATTACTCTTTCATGGAGTTCAGAACACCCTTGCACAGCATGCATTTCTGTTCAGTCCAAAGAATACAATACACCATATACTGAGTCTGTAACTCAAATTAATCTTATTTGGTTTTACCCTGCTTGATTACCCTTTATGTGCTTTCTTAAAGTCATATGATTTTTTCCTTATTATTTTGACTATTTTAATTACTTGCTTTCTCAGTATATTTACAAGGATATTCCACAGCTCTTTTCAAAACAGTTTGTATTAACTAACTGGAATAGATTTGTTTTTACAAGAACAAATTTAAAAGAACAGAGTCTTTTTAGATCTCAACTATGTGTTTAAGTAAAAGTGAGCCAAAACCAGTAACTGCACACTCCGAAATCTGGGACATTGGAGGAAGTGTTGGCATCGTTTCAGCATGTCTGGATGTGAACATACTCCATGTGAAGGTCTGGTTTACAGGTTATCTGGGCTGCAGCCATGCAAAGCACAGCAGGACAATACATCTGTATATTTTCGGAGAATGAGTATTGGCAGTGTTGATCTGAGCCTCCACTCAGGTTTGATCTTCAGAGCTGGCTTACAGACATAACAGGAAAAAACCTGCAGGACTTGAAGAGGAGTGAGCATCACCTGCAGTAAGACTGGAATCTGTAACCTTGGCAGAGGTAGAGGACACCACTACTGAGCCACTCAGACCTGGTGCAGTCAGTCTGGGGCACTCAGGGAGAACCAAAAGCCTGATCTGTCTCAGCCAGGGTGAATTAGCAATGAAGGTGGTCCTGTGCTGCCTTAAGCAGATCCTGGCAGTCATTCAAGCACTCAAGTCAGCTGCTGTGCTATCCATACCCAAACCAGCCAGGATAAGCTGTGGGAATGTTCCTGCTCACAGGCCAGGCCCTTTGCAAGGGATGAGTGAGTCTCGGGAGAGGTGTGTGGTGGTGCCCCCAGAGCCAGGCAGGGCAGCACCCCCGGAGCACAGCCCGGCACAGGCTGCGGGATCCGCTCCGGGAGCTGCCCCAGCCCTGCAGCAGCAGCTTTGACCTCCAGCTGTGCTGGTAACAGCACCAGCACCAAGGAGTCTGAAGGGACTGTGGGTGCTGGGAATGCCATCCGGACTCTTGCTAGCCAGAGGAATGCACCTTCTCTGTTCTGACTGTGCAGGTTGTTTCCCTGAGGACAGTGGAACAGGCCAGGGCAGAGGAGTCACAAGGGGAAGAACAAATGAAGCTGTGTTTTGGATCTTATTGTTGTTATTTAAGTGACCAGTTAAGCCAAAGCCTGTCAGTGATAGATAGGAATAACACCTGCCTGAGCTGAAAACGGGAGCCCCAGTGACTTTCCCATACACTGCAGATAAGCAGTATCTTGCTTGGTCATAGATGCACGTGTTAACACTGCTATTGCTGCTGGTGTCTAAGAGGGCAGCAGCCTCCATCTGCACATCCAACAGATGCACAGATGCTACTGGTACCTCTGCTTGCTAGATAAAGCCAGCCAGTAATATCAGCAAACTCCAAGCTAGCTTTATCTGACTAGCATGGATACCAGTGACATGAGAGGGCACACAGAGCTGCCCTCACAGATACTGGCAGTAACACTGTCAAATGCTCAGTTAAGGGTGGAGATGGCTGCTGCCAAACATTTTAAATGCAGAAAGAAAGCCAAGTTATTTATCTTATTTTATTTACAGTAATAGGGGACTGTTGAACAGCATGTAAGTGCACTACAATAAAATCGATAGGGAATATTAAAAGCAGAAATAAAGATCAGCCAACCTAAGGAAACTACTAACTTGAATGAAAGGATCTAACAAGAGGGCAAACTGAACAGCTCAGGAAAACCAACCCACCAAAACAAGAGAGAACCGTTCCCAGGTTTGATTAGATGAATCCTCAGCCTTTCACTGAAACAAACTGCCCTTGACATGATGGTTTCTCTGAAGCCTTTAAAGGGATTTTTTTCTCAGAAAATACTTGAAAAATTTTCATAATCAAAGACCTGAAAATTCATAATCTCCACTTGGTCTGTTCTCAGGTGATTATAATTTTAGAAGCTGATTCATCTGCACTGATACTGCAGGACTGGAAGAAAAAGAGACCATCTAACAATTCAGCAAGTTACTCTGTCCCTTTTGAGGTAATGTGAGTTTTGCCATTTGTCTTAAAATAGAGGCAGAAATTCTTGTCTCATGTAGAAGGATGTTAGATTTCTGAGTGTAGAATAATGTTTTCCTTTCAGACATGGCCGGTGGCTGGTACTCTAAGTCAGTGTGACTGAAAGATTCCTCTTTGCTAAAGATACTCAGATTTTGAGACAAAGTTTAATGGGCAAAGCTCAAGCCTGACTAGAAAAGCTTTTATCCAGATCACTAACCCAGGCTAGACCAGTTTGTGAAAGATCTATGTGATAATGTACCAAGAAATAGTTTTGAAAAAAACAAAGTTTTGTTTGCTGTAAGGCTGATTTCTGCTGGTTTGACTGGACTGCGAATGAGCTATCAAAGACAGCCACTCATTAGTGCAGGTTACAACAAAAGCCATGACTATCCTTTGCTGAAAGCCCTCTCAGCAATTGCCTGATCCTCTCAGGTTGTTTTTAAGGGCAGTGTTAAACCAGCTACCTCAGCACTTACTGCTGTCATTGCAGCAACGGGTTAGAGGCAGCACCTGGCTTGTTTCTAACCAAAGACTGGGAGGACAACAAAAAGAAGAAAACTTGCAAGCAGGTTGAAATCTTTAACCTGAAACTTTCAAAAACTGTATTTGATCCAAAACAATCCTTTTGTGTGAAAATCTGACTCCTTAAAAGTTTCTGAGCTTTCCTCAAAGGTAGAAATTTTAAATTATCATTGTTCAGTAGTGGCTGTTTTTTAACTGTCATTTCCTTCATTCTTTTCTGCCACTGAATGTCTTAAAATGAATGATCTGATGGTTCAATTCTTTACTTTTCAATTTTTCTGTTTCACTATTAGTAATTTTTCTTGTTCTGATGCTTTTCAAAAATTTTATTCCCCTCTGGTTAAGTTAAAGGACAGAAAGAAATTTTAAAAATAACTGTCAGTCTCTGACTGGCAACCAAAGGGTTCCACATATTTTCAGCTGCACATTCCAATTCCACAGATCGCAAATAATTGTCCAGGTAATTGTATTGGAAGTGATTCACATTCCTATTCATAACTGCAAGGCCCAAAAAAAACCCAGTGAGTAATGAAAAAGATTGTAGTCATTGCTCATACTGAGAATGGCCTGTGCAGCAGAGAAAGAGGGGTAGGAAGGGGAAAGGTCCAACGAGGAAATATTAAAAGTCAACTTCAGAAAGTTTTTATTAAGACTATAAATTAATACTTGCATAAAAGAGAGAAAGTTTTAAAATATGAATACGAGAACACGTTTGTGCCTTTAAAGGAGATGCTTCGATTCCATATCATAGTTCACCTAAAAATTCTATATCACAGTAAGCAGTAATTATTCTGGCTTTGCATATTGTAAACCTGGTCACTGTCATTCTTTCTTTGCCTCCACATGCCTCAATGCCACATTTTCTACAGTCGTGGGGAGATTGCCTTGGCTCTCACTCAGCTGGCTCAGCTAATGCAATTCACAGGCCTTCAAATGTAAGCTTGTAAACTATTTAGTTCTTTTTCTCTCTAACAGCTTGTCTATTAACAGCTCATTGAATGGAGGAGGAAGAAGAAACTAGTGAGACCTCTCTTGGTATTGTTCAGCAGTGACCCCGGCTTTCTCAGATTGGTGGCCAATGCTCACTAAACAGCCTTTGTCAGTACATGTTGTTTTGCTGGATAATAGTATATTGTGCTCACAGCCATCTCTATCAGCAGCAGGTAACAATAAGCTGGGAAATAAGTCTCCTGTGTGGCATGGTAAGGTCATATGAATGATGTATAAAAATCCAAAAGAAAGCTCGTTAGGATGGTCTGTGCAGTGCAAGAAGACCTGTGCCATCTTGAGACCTTTGTGCACACTTCCGTCGTGCATTGTTCAGGATCCTCATCACTGCTGTGTCCTCCAGCTTGAAATGGACCTAGGGAATGAGGAAGTTTTACCCCTCAATATATGCTGTATGATTTTCAGGCTGTATGTCCACTGCTCATAGCCTGTATTTCATGAAAGGTGAGTTTTGTTGAGGTAACCAGGCTTGTTAAACCCCAGGACAGATGCACCCAGAGACTGCCCACACCATGGGCCATGCCCATTACTCCTGTAGCTGTAGAAGGCTATGAGAATATGTTGCAATGAGAAATGTGATGTTGAGAGGCCTGGATCCTGCTCCAGCACTGCTGTTCCCCTGTCCCTGTGCTGAGATTCTGTGTTGCTGTGCCATGCAATGAGCCTGCTCACCCTCTGCTTTCAGATGGATTATGTAAAATCTATAGTATTTTATTACTGATGGCTGAGATTTCTTTAACTTTTCTTAGTGTTTTATATGGCAACACCAGCGCCGAGTTGGTGGCCCAAACAGTGTTTAATAAAGGGAATCATGCTCGGCACAGATTTCCCCACCACCAAAACCCGACGCACTGCACTTACAGCCCGTTCTGTTACAGAAACATCGTGGCTTCAGCTTACTTTTTTTGCTGCGCTAAGTGTTGCAGATCTTGTGTTATCTCTCAGACAGACTGACAAAGCGGCAGAACGGAGAAATCAGGTTTCAAAGCGAGTGATTTATGGAACACGAACTTCTCCGAGCGCGCATTGAGACTCCCCCGTGTGGCACGATGCCGATGCCGCTGCCGGCTCAGCCCGCCGGGCTGGGGCTGCCCGTGCTCCCAGCGACTAAATGCGGCCCAGAGAACACTCCCGTGCTCAGAAGTGGCCATCAGTTTGCAATTAATGTTGACCGCTAGAGCATAATGTTGTTCCGTTGTCTTTCTGCTGCAGGGGAAAAAGAAAAAAAAGAGTGTAATATTTTACTAACTGTGATGCTCTGGGAAGAATTATGAGGTCTCATATTTCTTTACTATGAATTAGTCTTAACAACTTCATTCTCAGTTTCATTTTCCCCCAACAATGTATCTTAGGATGATACCTTTAATAGATGTTAAAATCTATTTGGACATCATTAGTTATTTTAAAACTTGGAATTATAAATGCATGTGGATTAACAGGACAATTCAAGGTTCTAAACACATGTTCATTGTACTCCTCTTTAGGTCACTTACGATAAACATTCCCACTTTTTGTCTTAGTTGTTTTCCGTTCAGAATGGAATATTTTTACCCAATACCTCCATAAAAAAATGTTAATTAAAATTTCTTCTGCTATCTATTGTATATCCTGGATATATTTTCTTTGGCATGGACCAGAGGAAGCAACTGTGTTCTTCCAAATTAAAGGGCTTGACTCTGCCCTATATTATACTGTCTCAAATCTACCTGTCAGCTGGATGAAGAGATGTTAGACTTACACCAGCACAGACAAAGAGAGAGTTTGGCCCAAAGTGTTCATTGTTCTCTGGAACTTGGCATCCTTTCTCCCATTCTCCTGAAATCAACATAAAACAGATGCTGAAATTCTAAAATGTTTTAAACCCTCCAATACTGTAGCTGTGAGCAGAGTGCACTGTAACCACCAGACCTTGATGGCACAGAGATATGCATCACGAACATGAAATCTGGGTAGGGAAGATAAGGGCACAGCCTTGCCACACTCCCAAAGTAGCAAAACACTGTAGAAAGTAACAACTGCATTTTTGTGGTGTTTGCTTACATCCCTCTTTGCAATGGCAAAACTTTGAGTTGGACCCCAGTGGGTGCAGTTCCAGGAAAGTGAACGTGCAGTGGAGTTGTGCCCAGTCGCAGTGGATCCGTATTTGATGACAATTGAGAAGATGAATGAAAATCGTTTCGGTTGCATTAGGGATGTAAGCTGTCAGGGATTTGGATTACTGCTTATTCAACTTTTTGGATGGCATCTTTACGCTTCCAAGAAATCCTTTTTAGACCAGGCATCAAGGGGAGACAGGATGAACTCTGGCAAGAAACTGGAGTTTGCAGACAAGTAGCTCATGCTCCTGACACTGCTGTTTGGATGGAGAGTAAGGGACTGTAAAGTAAAACTGGAGAAAACAAAGGATACTTTGTGGTTGTGCAGTACTGCCAAATCCCAGTGGCCTGGATACATTGTTGTTGTTTATCTATTTCCATCGGTGCTCAGGGGTATGTATTGATCTGACTCGCATTCATGTCTGATGGGTCACTGTGGGTATCTGATTTTATCCCTTTCTTTGGAGGGTTTATTAATATTGACACTTCTTCATTTAATTGGGGCACTGACTATGGAATCCCTTTTTAATGGAATCATATTAGCTAATGTACTGCCTGTCCACACTCAAATCCAGAGTGCTTTACACAAGTCCATATTTGAATAACTACTAAAAAAAAAATCCCGAAACTAAAAACACAGATCTGTGAAACCAGAGAGGAATAGCAAAGACAGAACCATGCTGTAATCTGCAACCTGCATTTCTCTGTTGCAACACAGGGACCCAAATTAAAATAAGAGTTACTTGTCCCTGTAACTCACAAAAGTTATTTCTTTCCTTGTTCTATCAAGGCCATTCTTCCCCTTCTCCTCCACCCCCACCAGGGGCTGCATTAGTTTCTGGAATGTAATTAGTCACATCTGTACAAGCTATTGTAAGACATTTCCAGCTAAAAAAGGCAGCCAGAACATAGAAGTTTGCACATCATCTTATTCCTGCACTCAAAGAGTGTATCTCCGAATGAATATGGGTATGGCAAATGTTCCTCTTTAACTTTCTCTTCTTTCCTTAAACAGATTTGGAGTCTGGTTCTACCATTTATAGAACAGATTTTTTTCCCCTTAAAGTGCCCTCCTGGGATTGACTAGAAAGTGTTTTTTGCAGTCTGCTTGATTGGTCTTCATTGTGGAGCAATTTCAGGGGCCAAGCTTTGGACACCATTTGCAATGGGTTTATAGCAGAAGGTCATGTCTTGTTACAGAGCCGTTATTGCCTCTCCCCTTGGGACCATTGCACACCTGTGGCTTTACCCTTCACCAGTAGCTTCTGACACATCTTTTCGACATCCATGCAGGAGGGCAGGAGCATATTGCACTAACTCCTTTGGCAGAAAGCACCAGTGGAGTGAAAGAGGGGAAAGGAACAGCAGAAATTCCGCCTGCAATAAATTTATTCATTCTCACCATTTTATTCAGAGGAGAAAAGATGGGAGTCTGATGTTTGTCTTGTAATGCATGAGGGCTTTAAAAGAGTAGGTATTTCATTGTGATACTGGCTTTCCAGAGTCCTCTGGAAGTCAAGGGGGTCTGAAAGTTGAGTTTATTAGAGACAACAAGATTGCTCATTTTAACTGTGTCTATAATTTGTCTAGATCCAGCACACCACACCCCCTCTACTCCCTACAGCAGCTTTTATTCAGGCTGAGTTCACGCTGCCTGCAAACCTCGCCTGTCCTTGAGTCAACTTTACTGTGTAGAAAAAGCCTGACAGTTGCAGTTATCTCCCTGGCAAGCTGCATGATAGTGTAAAAACATCGAGCATGGGTAGAGCCTTCCCACTCAAAAGCATTTCTACATTTCTGCAACTGATGATCTCAAGACTTTCATTGAACTCAAATAATATTTTGAAATGTATAAACAATACTTTCACCAACAGTGGAAGTTCTGAAGTCTGTTGTCTCAGTTTCCACCTTAAATTCTGCAAAGACAGTATATTCCTGGTGAGTTACTGAGCTGGTAGCAGACAAGCAGGACAGTAAACTGGGTCTTTCATGCTCATCCCTCAGCTCCAGTCATTAACACCTTTGCTCTGCTCACTGCTGCACTGAGAATAGATTTTTTTTTCTTCTTTTCTTTTAACAGGAGCGGATTTGTGAATTAGACACACACACACACACAGCTCTGGCAAGGTCGTACCACAGGATTCTGAATTACAGTTGCTTTTGAAAGAGAGAAACACGTTTCTGATCAGTCTGACCCTCCACCAGGCCCAACACACACTTCTACAAACACAACCATTTTGAGGCCATTTTGGGAGACAAAAGAGCTGTTTGACTTCAAGACTAAGATGAAGCTTTCAAGTAGGTATCCCAGCATGTGACCAAGTTTCTGTTCTGAATGATTTAGCCTAAGGCTACCCTAAGGTGGTGATTCCTCTTTTAGACCACAAAGAAATAAATGTATTGGTCTTCCAAAAGAACCCTCTGCAAAACCCTGTGGGACACTGCCCAGCCAGGACATCTCAGAGTATCATTCAAGTCAGTGCTCATTCCTGTAATGCTGGTAGAGCTGCAGATGTGCAGCTTATAATACTTGCAGTAATCTCTGACCACAGCATATGACTTCACCCAGAGTTTGCATCACCCATCGACATTTTTCATACCTTTTGCTCTACCTGCACCTCTGAGTTCATCTATTTTTATGTCTTCATAAATCAAACAACACAGCTCTTTGCTGTGATTATATTGAAATAAAGCCTTCTTTTTTATCACAGTACTTTGCTTGCCCTCCACCTCTGGTTCTCAGCAGGTTCTCAGATGCCTTGTTTAGGCTTTCAAAGCCTCACAGCATACTCTGAGAAGAAGGCATCTGTCCTGAGGCTACGAGATACTAACTCTGCAATAATACAATAGATGAAACTACAAGTTCAGCATCCTTTTGAAACTTTCTGTGTAGAGCTGAAGAGGAACTAGGGCTGCTGAATTAACCTGGATGTTTATACATCACATTACTTGTAATCTGGACCGTAGCTGCCTCTTGGTACTTCATGTTGAATTATCCTTTCAGGGCTAGATCCTCACCTGGTGTTTTCCCCACAGTTTAACCATTCCAGTGAGGCTGGCTGGCCATAAATCAGTGAAAACTCATCCCTTTCTTTCTAAACACACACAAAAAAGTGCAACTTTCTATAGCTGATTTTTTTCTTTGATTTTTATTTCTCCAATCCTTTATATAGTCATTATAGATGTTAAGAAGCCTGTTTTGGAAATGATTAAGGCTATTAATAATTTTCTAATTCGATAAAACCTCTCATCTTTGAACTCCTTGCAATATTTTTCTGCTTTCTTCAGCTTTTCACTAATTCAACCATATGACAAATGCGAGTCTTCGTTTCAGTTTTCTATTATTTCTCATGTCTGATCAAATAAATTAACAGACTTTCATTTCTTTCCCAGGAGTGATGCCCATATGTTGATGAAAGTAGTATAAAAATATTACCTGTTCAAACAGGAAGGGGGAAAAAAAGAGACAGAAGTTACCTTTTATTCACTGTTTCATGCAAACCAGAGCCGCTGATCCCGTTGCTTTCTCCTTGACAGCGCCCGCTATGCTCAACGGTAAATATTGCAAGATTTGCAGAACACCCATCAGTCTGGTTTAACTGCACTGTATTATAATGTCCCTTTTCAATCTCTTCATACAGTAGCAGTTATTTTAATGACCCCACAATACTTCAGTCACTGGGAAAGAATCTGTTGTCCTATCTAATGTGCCCGCTCCCCAGTCACCCGGCACCAGCCCGGCAGAGCAGCATCCTGCTAATGCAGTTTGCTCTGTTTGGATAGTTAAAGATACGTCTCCAGGCCAATTTGTACCTGTGTATTGTTGATAGACAGCGTGCCCCAGGCAGAGAGATACTGCGTGCAGGAAATGGATTCTCATTTAACCGTGCTTAATTTTGTTCCCTGGATCTCCATCATACATCTTTCCATTTCTCTGCCCACCCAAATTGCTAATGTGAAACAAAGCTGCTTCCGCCACTACAGCTCCTAAACTGATGTGTGACGATGCAATGATTGATTTCCCACTCCAGGAAAAGTGGGTCATTGTACATGTTGTACCACAGCAGGCTGAACCAAGCCGGTCGTGCTGACATTGGGCTTTTACAGATTTGTTTTAAGTTCAGACCTGAGGGGACTACTGTGGATATCCAGCCTGCACACTTCTGGGTTTTGATGGGAGCACTGCCATTCTAAAATCTTCCTTAGCAGCTTAGAGAGATCTGAAGTCATCTGTGCTCCTCAGGAGACAGTGTTCTGATTATGCATTTTGTATCTTACTTGCATGTTTGCACTGAGGATGGAAAATGCAAAACTCTTCCAATTCCAAGATACAGGGGCAGTTTCCATTTTATCATTTTCCAGGATAGAAAACCCTAAACGAAATATATTTTTAATATAAAATGGTGCAATTAACAGCTTTTGTGAAGGATTTTGAATCACTGAGAAAAGTACTGATGCAAACTGCTCTTTGAAAAAATCCATTGCTTTTATTCTTCTTTTGTGAGATTACTTTTCTCAAGTAATAAGACCTGTTGAAACTCACTTGAAGATTGAAACACTTTAGATTGCCTCTTATGATACCAGGGAGATATAATTTGAAGAGGCATGTCTCAGTACTGGGGTAGGACCTGCTTACCTATCTGTTGCATTAGATCAGCAAAGTTGGAATCAATTGCTGAAAGGGGAATGTTTTGCAGGTTTTTCTGAGTAGCCCAATAAGTAACTGAGCACAGATGTCACTGCAGAATCCAAAAGGTCAAGGTAGGTGGGGATCTGAGTTTTGATTTGAAAAAATCAGGAAAATACAGCTCTTAAAATTGTAGCTTTGTTTTTATGGAGGTTGAAACAAACCTCCAAACCCTACCTGGTTTTGGGAAATGATTTAATGAACAGTAAGTCGGATAAGACCTTTTTCCAGGGCCTATAAATTTTTTCTTTGCTTTAGATAAATCCTTATGCAAGTGACTTCTCTACTCTTTGGAGACCCCAATGAGCGGTGTTCTCAAGGGCAGAGAACATCTAACCAGGTCCTTAAATCCTTACACCGGTAAAATCCCTAGTGGGGTCATAGTTATGCCCAGCAAGGACTGCACTTTTAACTTCCAGCTGTAACTTTTGGCAGGCATGACCTGGGATGTGGAGAGAAAGCCTACACTTGCCTCCTGATGAGGGACCCTTTGGCTGCAGCATAATCCACTGACTTGGATCCACTGTGCTGTGTGGTGCAAACTGGATGGACACAAAGCTACAATCTCTTCCAAAACAGTCAGGGTGTAGCGTGGTAAGTACCCAAGTCCTGAGGGCCCTGCTCTAGTGACCCCTAAGCTGAGGAAGGGGGAGAGAAAATCACCACCATTCCACAAATGACTTCTGAATTTTCCTACTCTGTTCCTTCTCCTGCTGACCGCTTCTTCTCCTCAGGAAACACAACAAATGTGGAAGGTTTGTAGGTAAGCAAAGAGGAGCCGGTCACAGCAAACAACAGAGCCAGAGCTGAAGACACCACTCACTGATAAACCCGGCCAAACCCTTTCCCTTCTGAAACAGAATCCCTGTAATGGAAATAATTACCAAAGAAACAGACAAAAACTACTCCTGAATGAAATTTAAGCTTCAGCAGAGCACAGCACAGCCAGGAAATACCAAGTACAAGCAACCGTCCCTTCATCCTGAATTCACACCAATTTCTGCTTCTGTTTCCTGTGCAAAATTATCAATCACTCAAAAGCTGCTGCCCAGGGGGGCTGTGGATGCAGAGTGGCTTGGGACAGCCTTCATCTGACTTTGCAGAAACACCTGACAACTACCTCATTTTGAGGTGGCTCTCTGAAAATACATGGCAAAATGCACAGTGTTGGGGGCAATTTTGTGGGATGCTTCTGGCAATACCCAGAATGATGTGCATTACTGGGGGAGGAAAAACTATGCAATTCTGGGGTGGTGGGAGTGGACGTGTCTCTTGCAATACCCCAAAAGATAAATATTATTAGAGGAGGAAAAAGAATCAGTCTGATTTTGATGAGAATCTGGCAATTCCCAGCACAGGATCGAGCTGTGTCGTGTTGGGGGGGGAACCTCAGAGTGCGCAGAGTGATACAGGATATGGAAGGGTATGGGAGTGATACAGGGTATGGAAGTGATACAGAGAATGGAAGGGGACAGAGAACTGTGTGATTTCGGGGGATTGGGGTGGAGGACACCTCTAGCAGTCCCCAGAGTGATGCACACAGCTGGAAGTGGTGCGGGGGGGGGGGAGCACGGGGGCACACGGACACCCATCCCCAATCCCAGGGCCCCCTGCAGCACGCACGAGGCACAATGACACGAATAACTCCAAACAGACACAGCTGGAAGTGAGAGCGGAATCCGAAATTCCAAACGGCGGATCTCCGCGGCTCGGTGCTCCCCAAGCCCGACCCCTCCAATACACACACACATAACACACATATACACACAGACACACACAGACACACACAGACACAGACACACACAGACACACAGACACACACACACAGACACACACACACACACACACACACACACACACACACACACACAGGCTGCGGTGCGGGGCGCGCGCACACGAGCGCGCCCCCGCCCTGCCGCCGCGGCCGCTTTAAGGGCGGCGGGGGCGCGCCGCCGGGGCGCCCGGCGCGTCGCCGCCTCGCTTCGCCTCGCCGCCAGCGCGCCGCGCTCCCGCTCCCTCTCTCTCTCCCTCCTCTCCCTCGCCCCGCTTTAAAGTCTCCGCCAGGATCCGGGCTCGCCCGCCACTTCCTGTACGGCAGGATGGAGCGCGCCGGGGCCCCGGCTGCCCGCCGCCCGCCCGGCCGTGCGCGGAGGCGGCTGTGAGCGCCCGGTCGGTCCGCGGCATGCGGCGCGCCCCGCTGCCCGCCTGAGCCGCGCACACACCGCGCGGGGGGGTCCCCGCGCCCCGCCGCCGCTCCTCGCTGTCCTCCCCCTGCCCCGCGCTTTGCGGGATTTTTTTTTTTCCGTCCCCCCACGTTGAGGAGGCGAGCAGGAGCCCCCCAGCTTTCTCCCGCAGGAAGAAGGGGTGCGGGGAGAAACTTATTTTCAACAAGTTTTTTTTTTTCCTCCTTTTTTTTTTTTCTTTTTTTTCCTCCCCTTCTCATCCTCCTTTTCCCCCCTCCCCCCTTCCCCCGTGTTAATTATTTTAGCCCCTCTCCCCTTTCGATGTGCGGCTTTGGACATGCGGAGGCTACTGCAACCGTGTTGGTGGATCTTTTTCTTGAAAATCACCAGCTCCGTGCTCCATGATGTGGTGTGCTTCCCCGGTGAGTGAGCGCGGCGGCTGGGGGGGCTCCCGGTACCTCCGCCACACGTGTCCGCGACCCCGGTGCGGTGCCGGCGGGGCACCCCGCGAGTGCGGAGGATGCGCCGGGGAACCGCGGGGGCCCCTTCGCCCAGGCGGCCCCGGCGCTGGGTCTCTCCCCGCTCCGCAGCACCCTCCGGGCTGCGGGCAGCGCTGCCCGCGAGTGGGGCCGTGAGCGGTGCGCGGGCTCGGCTCCGCGCTCCCGGCGCGGTGTCCCCTCTCTCCGGTGCAATGCAGCCCCCGGCAGCGTGGGGCGGGCGGAGGGGGGTTCCTCGCACGCTGCCCTTCTTCCGTGGGGCTGCCTGGAGCTCCCTTTGTGCTGCGGGACCGCCGCTCGCCGCCCCGAAGGGGAGCGGGACTCCGCGCTCCGACCCCGCGCTGCAGCCCCGCGCCCCCCGCCAGAAACTTCGCGGTGCCTGGTCCGCGCCCTCCCCGCCCCACTCGTGTCCGCGGTGGGTGTCTCGCCGTGCCGCGTGCTGACCTTGGCAGGGCGGGGGGGCCGCGGGGCTGCGCGCCCGCCCCGCTCCGGGGCTGGGTCTGCGCGGCCACCACCGCACACCCCCCGCGAGAGAAGGGGCTGCCCGGGCGGGAGGCTCGGGGCTCCCGCCGCGCTGTGCACCCCCCACTTCGCGCCGCACGGCCGGTGTCCGCGCATCGCTTCTCGCCCGCATCGAGCTGCAGGGGCCGAGTTTAACGGGGGCCGGGGGTGCGCTCGCCCGCGTTGGGACCCGCGTCCCCTCCGGCGCGGCCCCGGCCCGGGGGAACTCTCGGGGCTCGGGGCTCCCGCCGCCTCCCCGCGCAGTTCCCGGGCCGCCCTCCAGGGGCGCTGTGGCGCCGCCGGGAGCCCCCGCGGGGCGCGCGCCCCTCCGCGGGCGCGCAGCGCGGGCTCCGCCCGGCGCGTCCCCGGGACACGCGCGTGTCCGCCGGGGCCCGCGGGTCACCCCGGGGGGACGGCTTGGCAGCCCCAAGGCTTTGTTGGGTTGTTTGCTTTCCCCTGCGCTCCCCTCTTCCTCCCAGCGGTGGTGGCGCGGGGGGCCGCGGTGGGGGTGTATGCGGGTGAGGTGCCCGGGGCAAGGCGAGTCCCCTCCCCAGGGAGGTCCGTCCCCCCCAACCCGCAACTCCTCCCGTCCCTTGCGTGGGCTCCTGAGGCACACCCGGTTGTTCGCTGCCTCCAGGTGTGCGAGTGTGAAATGAGAGAATTAAATTCTGGAGGCTTATAGGAACTTCCACTTCTGTTTCCATATTTTTTTTTAATTTTTTTATTTTTCTTTCTGAAATATACTTTTCCCCATCGCCAAATACAGAGCTCCCGTTCCTTCCAGCAGCTTCTCACATGGTAAAATGATTTGAAGCAAAAAGAAACTGGAGAGAAGTTGGAGAGAGGGTTAATACCTCTGCAGCTTTTGACGAAACATTTATCTTCTTTGTATTGATTTCTTCTCAATTTCAGCGCTCGGAGTGAAGCCTTTCTCTCTGGTTCTGATTTATATTGTACAGTAATTACATCTAGAAGGCAGGCTCCAGGAACGCTGCAGGAAAACAAGCTCTGATGTCGGTTTAATATGACAGTATTGTACGGCTTGCTGATTTAGATCAGCAATGTTTGAACCAGATAATATTTGCATTATGGTTTGAATATGAAGATGGATGCAAGCAGAGTAGGTCTGTGGATGTTTGCAGTGTATTGGTAAACTCTTGAACGCCAGAAGTCGTAAAACAGCTGTGTAATACTTGGGAATGTTTCAGGGATGTTCATGGCTAAAAGGCTTGCTTGGAAAGCAAACTATTTTCCAGAAGGGCTTTTGTGCATTTAGTTTTTGTACAGAGCTACCACGTTAGACCTCAGTGACTTGCTCGCTCCTGTGTGCCGCCTTCTGAAGAGCAGCAGTACCCGGTGTGTGTGCCGGCAAGGGGTGGTGAGCGAAACATCGTGATAAACGGGGACGCTCCAGACTCTGATCCCGTACATCAGAGATGCCCGAGGCAGGAAAGCTGCAGGGAGGATCTCGGTGGACTGTAACAGGACATTGGTGCTGACAACATCCAATGGCAAATCATCGGAATTTGTGTTGGCGGGGAATCCCGGCCAGATATTAACCATTTAGTATCCACCACAGATGTTTCGGTACCTTTTCATAGCCTTTTCTAGAGAGGATTAGAGAACTAAGGTATTTATTGTTTTGGTGGTAATTCACAAGCATCTTTTCTTCCATCTGCTTCATATCTCGCTCCCTTTAAATGAAAGAGAGGTCACTATTTATTTTCTCCCCTGCAAATCACTTTACTTTGTGAGGAAACATAAAGGCTATTCTTTTCTTTGTTCAACAACAATAAATGAACCATGTAGAAAATAAGTCTTTGCAGTATTCCTTTGTTAGGGGGATTGTAATAGGTTTTCACTGTTTAAGTAGGTATTTTTGTTGCTGTTCCTTAGGTTGCAGTAAGAGAAAGGAGTCATTCTGGCACAAAAAATATGTGGGTAAGGTTTTCCTCTTTCTGAAGTGTTTAGTGCATTTCTCTGTGGGCTTGTCACTGGTAATTGCATTGCTTAATAAATCAAACCGAGACAAGGTAAGAGAGGTTGTTTCCGTGGGGTCCGTTTACTCATTAATCTAAATTCACAGTACCAAAAATCAGTAAAACATAAATATTAGTGTTATCAAAATATCTTTACTACCTGATTTCTCTGTGCTTTGCCAAGAGAGGATAAATATTTTTTTGTAAAGGAAAAAGTACACATTTGTGCAGTTCTTAGCTGTTGCTGTGACAATCTTGTCATCTAAAGAGTGACAATTGCTACCATTTTCTTAGGGTAGATGCATAAATGAAAGTCATTTTCTTGAGCTCTTTGGTAATGAATCAAGTTGTTGCTGACCTGGTAACTGCCTAAATGGGTTTTTGGATTTTGAGTCTTTGTAGTTCTGAGTTGAGAGTTAATTTTGCATGTAACTGTCTTCTGCTTGGAGGAAAAATTATACTAGGAGCTTTTCCTTATGAACTAATCAAATACTACTTCAGATATTTTTAAAGGTACAGAGAAGGGTGGCTTTGTCTAGTAAAGATTTTACAGAGGAAGGTACGTTGTGCACATAGAGAAATACGGAACGTACAGGAGAGGGCCCTCCAAGACTTTATTTAGTCCTGTGGCTTTTATGAAGATGACACTTCTTACATTTTAATTATCCCTTATTTTCAGTGGCGTTATAAAATATGCTTTACGTTACGGGAAGTTGCTAATGGAGTCCTTGCAGATAAAGAATGTCAAGTGAGCCTTCCCAGGCTGTTAGAGCTGAGCTTGCTGTTTGCTTCTGGGGGGGAAACTCCAGGGACAGCTTTGCTGTCTCCTAGTAGGTTTGTGGTTAGCGGGGCCTGGACCCGGCTTTCAAAAATCTTCAAGTAGTCACAGGAGCTGTCTGTGCTAGCAGGCAGAGTGAGAGGCCTCTTAAAGTGGGGAGTGAAGAAGAGGCATCACAGAAGGAAGGGATTTCAGTACATCCAAAAAAAGAAAGGAGCACAGTTTGAGGGTAACTGGAATTCCCTGAGTCCTGTTGGGGTGTTGGCAGTGCCTACAAAGCCTGTATTCGCTGGAAGAGCAGGGAGGATTTTTTTCCTGTGTGTGTGAGTTAGGATTTCTATTACTGCTCTCTCATCCCGTCTCCTCTTCTTTTTGTCTAGGAAATGGGGATAAAAGGGTTTCTGATTCTCTTCAGAAAATGGATGTCTTAGAGCAGAGAGGAACTTCTGTGAGTCAAGCACAGAGGTGTCATGTCCTTCACCCATCCCACCTGCATCTGCACTGGGTATCTTTATGGTACCAAGCAGGACCTATTTGTTCCACAAAAGTCATCAAAAACCACCTACTGATTTCAGTAGAGTGATGGTTTAACTCCCAGTTTCTGAGTCTTTGCAGGGACAAGTGTTGGCTGTACTGTTATCAAGTTCTGCAAATTTAATAGTTGGGGTTTGTTTCCAATTATAGAAAAGACAACTAACAGTGAGGACTCTATCAATCCTATGATCAGTGCTCAAGGACTACCATACTTAGAGTTTTCTGAAATAAAATGTTATTAAAGTTGACTCCAATTTCAATGTTCAAGTTCCATGGTTAAATTAAAGAAATGACTTCAAACTATTAATCTTAACTGTCCTTGGAAAAAATGCTAAGCATTTGGTTGCTTCTTTTTAACAGCCAAATGAACATGTGGCATGATGTGCTCTGAAGCCTAAGGGTTTAGTAATAACACTGTATTTTAGCTAATATATAACTTTAATCAGAGAAATTATGAAAAAATGAACCTGATTTTCTTTTTGCCCAAGTTCCTGTGCTTCCATTTTTAAAGACCAGTTGCTCCTGTGTGCTATGAAATTTTGATGATTTATGTTTATGTGCCACATTACTTAAAGTTTAATTCTAAACAACAATTATTAAGTATTTTAGGAAGTGGAATCTCATCAGAGAAATGCTCTTAAAAAATATGGAGTCATCTGAGAATGCGGATATGAACCAAATGGGTTAATTTATGGTTTATATATCCCTTCTGGGGACTGCTTGCTGCTTTATGTGTCTAAATATCTTTACAAAGTTTTCCTTTCTTTGTGAGGTAAACTCCTGTCAGTGTTTCTTCCAAGTGAAAATTGTGGATCTGCATCTTCTTGCACCAGGTTGGCGAGAATGTGACATCACCGATTGCCAGATAGTCCCTGGTGGAATTGGGCTGGATCGGTTTTGTGGAGACATGCAGGGGCTGGAAGGAAGGCAGAGAAGGAAGATGCACATTAATGCACCCTTTCACATTAAACAGCAGCACCTGGGGTGTGGCCAGTTAGAGGTGCCCAACTAGAGAGTAACTTTCGATGAAAGCAACTGGTTTTCACAATTGTGTGTCAATAAACCTTTAGAGGAAAAAAATCAAAGAAAACTGATCCTCGATTGCTGTTATTTTTCCCATTACTCAATAGCTT